GTTTTTCCAATGCTGTTCCACTTGTTGGAGAGGGCCTGAGTCCAGCACCTGCACCAGAGGGGCTGCTAAGAACGGTGGCTGGCAAGAAAATGCAAAAAATGCAATTAGCCCTATCTAGAGTCAGTGTTTGGTTTGGCCGTTCTGGGCTACTGTAGAAGACTCCATGGACGAGGACCCAGTTCCTATGGAGATGTAAACACCTTATTTTAAGGTAACGGAAACAACAGTTCTTATTTTTAGGTGATAATACACTAAAATAAATAAAGTTGATTGATTAAAGCAGTGGTTTCCAACTGGTGGGTCTTGGTCCAAAAGTGGGTCTCGGATCCATTCTGAATGGACTGCAATTGTTTTGCAAACGTGTCAGGATTTGTGAAAAATACACTCTTATTTTTAAGTGCAGTTAATTTCCAGCATAGAGCTTTTATTGTGTGGTGCCATTTCCTGCTGTAGAGTGAGTGACTAACAGACAGCTACTTAACAGAGACAGCAAACTAGCTCGACGACATGCCAAATGCAGATATGACGCTGAATATATTAAACTGTGTGGACCTTTAACTAATGACTAAGGAGAAATCTGGACCTTGTTGCTGGACCAGTTGGGAACCACTGCACTAAATATAGCATACTTATTATATTTTATATTCCATTTCTGCCAGTATATCCCCCTAAATCCAACACACTGGGCCTTTAAGAAGAGCGTCAGATTGGATTCCCGAACCACCACCAATCAGGTGTTACTGGAAATGGGTGGACTTGATGACGTCCTTTTGAGATTTTTTTTTTCATTAACACTGTACACTAAGCATACAAGTCTCAAGTCACTAATTTATTCCTACCCCTGGCTTGCCATACATTTTCACACTTCATAATGCTGTAAACCAGTTGCTGCAGTGTGTGGTGGGAGGCCCCATGAGCCATGAGCTCTAATCCTCCAGTCCGCCCCCACACACCTCAGAAGGAAGGGAAAAACTGCACACAGACATCTTGCACACGCCCAGCCATCCACTGTGACCATCACCACAATTATAACTGTGCTTTTTGAAATGATTTTTTTTGTCCACTTCTCACATGCTCCTGCAGGGAAGGCAGCAGCAGTGAGGTGCCAATCCTGGTGGTGGGCAACAAGAGAGATCTGCAGCGGCAGCGTTTCATGCCTCGCAGAGCGGTGTCGGTCCTGGTGAAGAAGACGTGGAAGTGCGGTTACGTGGAGTGCTCTGCCAAGTTTAACTGGCATGTAGTCCTGCTCTTCAAAGAGCTGCTGGGCATTGCCGTGGCACGGGGCATGCGCCAGAACCACACCTCCATCCGTCTGCAGGGGGCGCTACAGAGGAATCGCTGTGCCATCATGTGACCCAGAGAGCTCCCTCCACCCCTCTCACCTCAGGAGTGGAGCGGCAGTGGAGAAAAAGGACTTTTTATCTAAATGGCTGGAAAAATACCCTGTGGCCTCCTGCATTACTGAGCTGATTTTTTCATAATGAGGTTTATTAGACTCTTGCGCTGTAAAAGACACTCAATTTTCACACATGGTCATCCAACCACTTCCTTCTGCTAAATGTGTAAATGCAAGGAAGGAGGTAGAAGAGAGAGTGAGTGAAAACCAATACGACTAGCATAGCACAGTTTTTTTTTTTCTCACATCAACTAGACAGTTACTCATTTGAGGCTGTGCTTCCCAAAATTACACAGCAGCAGGTCTTACTGAGGGTTGTCTCGTGGCTGTAGATGGGCCTGACGGGAGGGAAGCTGTGTTGGTGAGACTCAAAATGGAGAGGCAGCAATATCATAGAGTCTTCCTTTTGAATTTGTCACATTCAGTACAGTCAACAGCTCATATCAGACACATATGGATTGGTTTGAGGGTAAATGGTCGACAAGATAGAACAACACAGAGCAAAAAATGGCTAATGCTTCACTTCTGGGGTGATTATCCCAAAATGTATAGTTCTGATTAGATGGTGTTTAATTTTCTGAGAAGTAGCCTGCAGTTTTTTTTCTTCCCTTGTCCCTGTTTTAAACTTGGCCTACAGTGAAAGCTATTTGTTAAGACGTAGGGGGTTTTGAGGTTGTCTTTCAGCAGAAAATGCTGCAGTCGCTATCATGATGTACTGTGGGTCTTTAATCTGCTCCCTCCCCTCACTCAGTGTCTGTTTCTGATGAATACATTAAATCCAGGGAACCGGGGACCTGCAGGAGGCTGCAGAGCCTGAAACGAGAACCTGTACATGCAATGTGGATGTGTGTGTGTGTGTGTGTGTGTGTGTGTGTGTGTGTGTGTGTGTGAGAGAGAGAGAGAGAGGGAGAGAGAGAGAGAGAGAGAGAGAGAGAGAGAGAGAGAGCAAGGCAGCTGACATTCAGGCAAGCAAAGGACAGACACAACAAGATAAGAGCAGACGTAGAAGCTTTGGATTAGGGAGCAATAAAATCTCACAGGGATGTCCTGGCTGACTCTATGTACCACAATCTTATATTAAAAATGCCTCACTTACAGTAGACGTAATCCACTCGTGCTCAGATACCCTGCAGAAATAAGGAAGCCGAGCTTAATGACTTCCAAAAACACCCCATGAGTGCATCACAGACACACAGGGAACCTTACTAAAGCTTTCATATGAGTATCTGAATAGTATCTAATTGGTAATGTTGTGAGATTAACAGTTGCTTTTTCATTTGATTAGGCCTAGATAGGTAGTATGTGACCATGGCTGCACTGGAAGTAAGCAGACCTGTTGTATATAGGAGTGATTCATAGAGTAATTGTCTTGCATGCTTATGTTGGTAGAGCCAACTGGTCAGGGTTTAATTGCACTGATGTGAAAATTTGATATTGTGTTTAATTTTTTTAATACATGGTTTTCTGACACTGTAATGAGCAGCTGAGTGGAGTGAATGTGGTCGTTTTTCACTGGCATGATGAGAGCACAAGCTCATGTTCCTCTCCAAGATGTAGTGTTGAACCCTTCAATCAGGGCAGATGGCTGTGTTTTTTTCCTAGTTAAAAAAAAAGAAATATGTAGCAGCAACTGTGTGTAGCATGAGTTCTCATCGGTTTGTCTGTGTGCGCGTTTCCAAATAAAAAGGGCTACAGTTTTTTATCAGAAACGTCACTTGTATTTATTTTTACTGTGATAGTACTGTGAGGTTTTTTTGGACACATGATGAAATATTAAATGCATTTGAGAACAGCAGCTTTTACTCTGGTCACTTTTCAATCTGCAACAGTTACACCACATTAAGATCATTTTGACAACATTGCCACCTTGTGGTTAAGAGATGTTATCAGGAGCCAAATCAGACAATGGTCAGGTGTCACGCACTGAACCCAAATACACTTGTTAGATTTTTGTTTAAAAAGTAGTCTTGGTTGTACTCAACAACAGCAGATGATCATCTATTGGTTTCCCCAGTGTAATAACTCATACACTTTGTGTACCTATGTGTGTGGCAGTGTGGTGATGATAATAGTCAATACTCTATAAGCAAATGAACCAGTTAATTGAGTAATTATCTCAGCACTGTCCATGGTACTGTACTGCAAGCGTAACCTGATTGAGATGACTGATGTTGGTTCAAACATGATGGTTTTTCAGTTCGTCTCCTCCGCTTCCCCCGTGGTAACTAACATGGCCACATTAATCTAGTAAGAACTTGTTGTTGGGCCATTATTGATCCCCTTACCCTCTTTCTACAGCTCAGTGCATTGTGCATGTATCCTGTCGCCTCCAAATTACCCATTAAGTACACTAGTGACAGTCAGTGTGTGTACTAATTTTGATCAAACACAATTTTTTTGGGAATATGCACCATGCAAGCACAATATAAACATCTTAAGTTTTTGGCAAATTTTAACATAAGCCCACCTCAAAAAGACAGACTGTAAAGATCAAGTAAGAAACAGAGGTGTGGACTCGAGTCACATGACTTGGACTCCAGTCAGGCAATGAAATGACTTTAAACTTGACAAAAACAAAAATGTCTTGCAATTCCAATTGGACTTTAACACCAATAACTCGTGACTTTACTTGGACTTGAGCCTTTTGATTTAAGAATACTTGATAACTTTCCCCAAGGTCAGCAACGTGGTATACAACATTAGAGTACTCTGTGTACTATTTTACAATTACTATTTTAACAAAATTCATTCTGTTGTAGTACTGGTTAACAGTGCTTTACATCAGCACTGCTTATTTCATGAATAAGTTCAGTTACACTTGTTTTAAAAACTTGTTCTACAAATACAAGTTTTAAAAGGCATTAAGGAGTTTTGTAAATTGCATATATTATTACCTTGCTGTTAAAATGGCATTACATGTGGTGAAAAGCAAATAATGACTTATCTAGGACTTGAAACTCAAAGTTTAGGGACTTGGGACTTGACTAAGGACTTGTTGGTCTTGAATGCAAAGACTAAAGACTTCCTTGTGACTTGCAAAACAATGACTTGGTCACACCTCTGATTATAATACAGGTCTAACTACCAAAAATCAGTCAACAGGCAGCGAGGGCCAGTGACCCCCAATGTGACCCCAAATTCTACTTACATTTAATGTTAAGATGAATTTCTTCACAAGTGAAATTGTGTCTGAGGCTTATTATTAATGTGCATTTTTATCAATGAGTACATTTATATGTGTTGCATTTAAGCGTCTATCCTACAGCAGTCTACTCACCTGACAAGTTTGGTGTGAAATCAGCAGCTAAACCGCATGTCAAATGTTTAGGAATGTTTAGATAACAACATCACGTGGTGCAGGACTGAATCATAGACTTCAATTGATAGAGCGGCCATTCCCATTCAAATCCACACTTGATTAAGGGCTGGGTCAGCAGCCGCTCCCTCCTTAGATTACTGCAATAAACTGTTTGGCACTGTCGTCATGGAAATCATTGTTGATTTAGTGACAGCCTTATCAGAGTATATAGAGGCCATGTAGGGGGTTTCCTATCTATCCAGCCCAGCTCTGTGCTCTGAATCCTCTGCAGTCTGCATCAGCAAAGTGTCTTGGCATCACTTCTCGTCCTTCCTTTGGTGTCCATTCCGGCGTCATGTGAAAGGGGTTCACGGTGGTTTCTCTCGCCCCCGACCGGACCCTCCTCCGTCGAGCACATTCGTCAGCCCTGACGTCCTCGCCCCGGTAGTCCCGGTGGGGTAGCGCCCGTGTCCCCGCTGTGCCCGGTTCATCCTGCATCCTTCGGCGTGCGGCGGAGCGGAGGATGAGCGAGCAAGGGAAGGGCTCGGCATCCGCCTCTGCCGCGGCCCCGGCACCAGGGTCGGACACTTACAAAGGCTGGCTTTTTAAATGGACCAACTATTTGAAAGGGTACCAGCGGCGATGGTTTGTCCTCAGCAATGGCCTACTTTCATATTACAGGTAAATTCAACAGACACAGTGTGTAATATTTCTCAAAATAAACGCCAAATTGGCGCTCAGCGACTCATATTCCTGTGTCGGCGCATCATTACAGCTGGCCGCCTCAGCTGGCTAGCATCAGGCTAAAGCTAGCTGTCAACGGTCAGAGTCAGCTGTCTGTTTACTTCAAGCTGTCAGTGACAAACACGTTGACATTTCACTTTGAATGACTGTATGTTGCCGAAAGGCACCGACACATACACGCATACAGTCATCAGCAATGGCAGCAAGGCTTTTAACTCATTATAATGTTAGAAATGTGGCCACAGTTGATAAAGACGTTAGCTAGCAAACTGAGCTAACGTTAGCCCGCTAGCCTCACCAGGCGACAGCTGAGGATCCAGCTGTCCGCTCCTCAGTGATAGTAAGGCGACTCTAAACGTGTATGTAGTAAAGTCTACGCTTCAGTGAAATCTTATTGTATCAATGCCACTTGTCTAAATTTTTATTCCTTATGAACGACATGTCTTTTTTGTCGAATCCATTCATTGCCTGCATTAACTCAGCCAAGTCACTCAGAGTGATAACGAGATACAAGGGATGGTCGCTATCGTTACCATCCTGTCTTCACTCCGATCACGTAGTTGCTAGCTGTGAGCTAATGTTAGCTATAGCCTAACACCTGTGGCTCAGGTGCTCCTTGCAAGGGACTCATGTTTCCACAGGTGCGGATGTAGAGGCAGGCATCATATAGCATGACAAATATTTAGTTATTCTGACAGCACTGAACACATTCAGTTTGCTTCAACACATAAGAGTCCTGTATATTGTGAAGGGTCAAGGTCTGATTAGACTGTGCTAGGTCATGAGATAGCATGAGCATGAGTATTCAAGCCTTGTTGATTAAATCATTTTCATTGATAGCAACAACAGAAACGTTTCCATTAACAATCTAATGTTACTACAGCCTTACAAGCAGGTGAATTAACTGTCATATGGCTTAGTCTGTGAGAGTTCAGTCTTGACCTTGGGAGGAGTAACCCTAAGAACTTGGTACTTGTCATTGCTTTCACTGCTGGGCTCCTGCATGTTCAACCAGCTTGCTTGCCTCCACGCGACTTCATCAGCATTCAGATACTGTATCACCTTCTGAGTCCCACTGCCCTTGGTGCTCCAAGAAGGTGTTTTTAATCAATTTAATCTCAATATTGATTCCTGTTATGTTGAGTGCCAAAATGTCTCATTGCCTACAATATTAATTCATGAAGAGATCCAGCGGGACCTTTTGCACTATGAGATGAGTATGAGGCAGTTAATGATGCCACACCAGGAAGCCCTGAACCACCTGTTTATGTGTATGGTCCACATGAAAGGAGAGACGGAGTATTCGTTGCAACAGTTGTTCACCCTGTCTGACCCAGTTTTTCCTAATTAAATGGTTCACAGCAGAATGAAGGTGCCCCCACTGGAGGTAACCTTCCTCTGCTAATAGTACTATTTGTCAAAGCTGTGAGGAAAAGTTTAAATGCCCTCACAAATCAGATAAGATTAAAAAACTTCTAGCTCAATGTTGTAATGCAAACTGTAATTGCTTTCAGTGATAAAGATAATTAATGTGAATCTAAGCTATTTCTCTAGGATAATTTGTCGTTTCATAAATCAGATGTGATAGAAGAAATCTAACGTCTGACTGCAAGGCAAAATTTTGACTCATGATGCTTCCCTGCAGCTTCAACAGTCATACAGTAAATGCCATCTCCATAAATGTGAATTTTCAGATAAGATATGGAGTCAAAAACAGAACATTCAGAGACCATTTCATCCCATGCTACAGTCTTGCCACAACACCCTATTGTCTTTTGTTGTCAGCAGTGCTATTTGACACAGAGGTATGGTAGCCAAAGCCCTTCTCCAGCCTGAGCTTGTGGTGAAAGGAAAGACGCCTGTTGCCTCTACCCTCTATTAATAGTCCATTATGTTGTAAGGTGACTGCTGTCCCAGAAGAAAAGGTAGCCCGTCGACATCTGAGCACGGAGGCAGTGAAGCGCACGAGTTGTCCACTCCACTGATGTCTCCCTGCCGGACCACGTTGTGTGTATCTGACTCCAGGCTTTGTGTGCCTCTGTATGTGCCTCCTCTGGCTGACTATCTGCACTGCTATTGTGAGAGATGTGAAAGGGAAACAGTCAGACAAATGCGACAGCATGTTAATTAAACTGTCGTCTTTGTATGTCAAGTGATTATTAAATTCTGCAAAAAAAATCATTCTTGTCCTAAAATTATGAGATGAATACATAGAGAAATATACTAGTTTTAAATAGCCCTATACTACTGCCACTCACTATTTTAATAACATGTTACAGTTCCTGTTGTCTCTCTAATATTTTCTTTGTAAGAAACATGCTCCCTTTTTAAGAATTTAATGATGTCACTTTGGACAAGTGTATGATATGATTTGATGGATAGGAGTTTCATAATGGAATAGACTCCATCATAAGAGGATGCACTTTAAAGCCCAGGCAACTTACGTCACATCAGATTAGCCGACATGAATTGATCAGTTGTTTGATTTGTAGCGTTTGGTATTTGTTTGACCTTTTTAAAAGACTGGTTTGTATTTCTGTTAAATCAATAGAGACCGACTGCCAATTAGAGGTCTAGCCAATAACCCGGGGGCTCACTTTCATTCCCAAGGCCTGTTGTTGTCAAAGCAAAGGCTTAGTCCTCTAACTTGTAGCTGAGAAGCCAAAGGGCAATGGAGGACCATAATCGATGCTTTGACTCCGTGAACGGACCGACACACTCAGCACTTGCATCTGTTAAAGTGTAATGGGTTTTACAGAGATTCAACATTGCACTTGCTATTGATTACTCTTGGCTCTGACACTGCAAGGCTGGCTGTCTTTTATACCACATCAGCCTTATGTCTCATCTTATTTAGTTTAAATCATCCCGAAAGAGCCTCGTTGAGCCGTTCTCACCAGGACATGACAAGATCTTTGTCCTCGCTCTCTCGCTGAATTTCTTTCATTTTTAATTTCTTAATTGACATTTCCTCCAAGTTTTAATACTCTCAGCACTACTTACTCACCTCTTAAAGCAAATCCGGCTTGGTGCTTTAGGGAAGATTACGGGGCATTAAAGCTTTGAGTGCTATTGGAGCTGCTATATCAGTGAATCCAGCCTCGACTTTCATAGTAGAGTAGGCCTGCCACGTTTCCTCCTCAGCTGCAGGATAGTAACTAGATAGTGTCAACTTAAGTGCTCAGTGGGGGTTCGGCACCATTCGTGTCGCTGTGGATAGTCAGGTTATTGTGTTACTGCTGGCACACTGGGCTCCTGGGTGCAGGGATGCGTGGTGGGAGAGTGGTGAGCTCGCCAACCTTGGGCCCAGCTGGAGGGTAGAGCCTGGCCTGGACCCTGTTTACTAGCCTGGCACATCAGCAGAGTGACTGGAGCAAGAGATGTGGATGCTGTGATCTAATCTTGTTAATGGGCTCTTGGTTGGTCTTAGCGCTATGCTACAGTGTGTATATGTGTTCGTATAAAAGTGTCTCTGTGTGCGGCCTGTCTGGGTGGTCCTTGTGTTTTTGTGTGAAGGTGAGAGCAGCGGCATGACGTTAAAGAGAGCAGGGAGTCCGGCCACATTCTCACTATCTCATTGTTTCAGTCTTTCAACAGGTCATGTCATGCTGTCCATGTTGCAGTATCATTGCTTTGGTTTTCTTGTCTTATGTTTCCTCTCTGTCTTCAGCACGACTTGTTCCCCAGCGTTTCTCTGGCTCTCTCCTTCCATGTCTTGTGATATTTCAGCCCCAAGCCACAACAAAACCCATCTACATTCTCATGCTCTGGGTACTGTGTCCTATTTCCTCTGCCTGAGTGTGTATGTCTCCTCATGCTTATGGCCGTCTGTTCTGTGTTGATCACTGGTTGTTGTTCTGTCATTACATGCTCCAGATCGGTGGATTTGTGTTTTATGAGGATATGTTCACAGGGGACTGACAGGTAAAGCACTGCAATTCTCTCAACATGCAGGACCCTCTGTCGTGCCCTCAGCTGCCCCCACTCACCTTCGTCCCCTCCCTTAGTAGTGCCTTAATGCCCCTGTAGTCTCTCTTTCCCCGCTTACCTTGACTGTATATTTCATGGCCTTTGCATGGCCTCGCCTTCCCACAGGGTTGAAGCGATCAGTGTGGATCTCATCTTACTCATCAGCAGCACGCTCAGTTTGTTGACCCACTTACATCCAGGGCTCTGCAGCTGAGCTTGGACTGGGCGAGGCTGGAAACTGGGCTGTTGAGGGTCTCTGTCCACCCTCCGCACGGCTTCGCATGGCCCCAGTGTGGCCTCATCTGCACAACTGATGTGCACCGAGCCCCGACAGAAGAGCGGTACACAGAAGCGCTTGTTCTGGTTTGGCATTATAACAAGACTTGACTTCAGCCAGTTGAAGCAGTGTGAGGGAAATCACTGCCTGGCAGAACTTATAAATACACTTCAACCTCTGATTTAATAAGGCGGCAGCCACCTTGTCAGTGTCAACCGAGACTGGATCTGGTGTAGAGTTTAGTGCCGCTGAGAGTCAGCTGCTTGTGGCACTGAGGGCTCACTGGATAAACGGATGTTAGCGCCCGCAGACAAATACAAATGCATCCACATGATTGCATGGTTGCATGCTTCAAAGTTTGCAAGAGTATGGATGGGCAATCATGTAACACTGAGGGTTAAGGATGTGTTTGTTTAATTTGAGACAACTGCCACAGCATGTGATTTTGCTGATTAGTTTCTGTTCTCTGGTTGATGGTGTTAATCAGCAAAATCAGCTGTCTGTGGCTGGGGTGAAGACCTGCATACACTTAGCTCTCTGAGGGGACATGATGTTCCATCCCTGCTCTGCAGCTTAGCTTGTCTCAGCGTGACAGAACAACAGGCAGCCGGCTTCACGCCACACAATTGTTAATATTTCTTTTGAATTTTCTTTTTATTAGGTATAGTAACTCAGTTCTAAGAGCTTATTTAAAAACTTGACACATGTAGAATAATTGTCTCATAATTATGCTACTTAAAGGAATACATCATCCACAAAATGACAATTTGAATATCAAATACTGACCCTGTGTTACATTGAATTTGTGAAGAAAACTTTGTTCTTCTCACATGCCTCCTTGGTGAATGAAGAATCCAAAAACTGAGAAAATTCCTGATGAATCGCAGTAATGTTTAACAACAGCAAAACTGTAAACATCTGTTTACAAACTCTCACACAGCTGGTGCTGTATAATCCAAGTCTTACTTATCCAGCGGTGTGCTTAGTACTTTATAAATACATGCATTTGGACTAAAGCCTTACTATTTAAAACACTGCCGGATAAACAGTCTCACACATGGATGAGTAGTGAGCCTCCATGGGTGTGCATGTGCGTTTGAGCTCTACTCAGTGGAATGCACAAACAAAGTTCAAATGCATGTGGCTGCAGAGGTTTGCTAGTTGTATGGGAAAGTGTTTTAAATGATAAGATTTTTGCAAAAATGCATGTGTTTGGGAGGAACTGAGCATGCACCTGAATAAATGACACACTTGGATTATACTGCATGAGTTATGTGAGAGTTTGTAAACAGATGTCTTGATATAGTTTTGCTGTTGTTAAACATGGACCCCTTTGACTTTTCATTCATCAAGAATGTACCCCTTTTTTGGATTCTTCATTCACTGTGGAGGCATGTTTAAAAAAAATAAAGTTTTCCTCACAAATTCAACACAGGAAAAGTAACTTGTGGGTCAAGTATTCCTTTAATAAATTCCACAGTATTTTTCAATTTTGGATGATGTACAGTTGTATCAGCAGTTGTTTTATTTGAAAATGCTTTTTGGAAACATACAGTCCATACAGTTGGCTTGCAAAGTGTGTGTATGTAGAACACTCTCTTGCCTTTGCTCTTTGTTCTAATCTCTTGCTCTCCTGTTTTGGCTCTCTTCCCCGCTATCTCTCTCTCTTTTTTTACCACCTCTCGCACTCTGTTCTCTCTTTGTTCACGCTGTTATTCATTGTTTGGTTTTGTTCGCTACAGAGGCTTGGAGGCAGACAATAGCCTTGTTATCTAGACTACTGTGGCCCACTGACTGTGCAACAGTTGGTCTTAGTGGAAGCTACATAGAATCCCCACAATTCAGCAGACTCACAGCAGGGCAGGCAGGCAGGCCACGCAGAGTGAATTAGAAGTTCAAACTATCCAATTTGTTTTACAATAGCTAATACAGATTTAGGCTATGTGAATGGATGAATGTGCTACAGGGAAGGTGTGTGTTTAGTGAAAGAATTAAGTACTTTCAGTGCTGCTTGGCCTTCAAAGTGAATCCTCATATAATTTGTGGCATTTTTTCTGTCCCTCCTTGCCTCCCTGCTTGTGCTTATTGGCCATTCGAAAGTTAGTTGTACTTTTCTACCTTAAATACTCTCATTCTCCTTTTCCATCAATGTGAAACCAGTTCCGTTCCGGCTCCCGCACCTAATTTTGAACTGCTCAGAGCATTTCGATCAAAAATAAATTGGTTCAGAACCTGAACAGTTGGTTTTCAGCTGGAACCAAAAAAAAGCAGATTTTCTCGACCTGAATTGTGAAACTTGACAACATCAGTGGGTGTTACATATTTTACAGGTTTGAAAGAGAGGATGGAGAAGGCAACAACGGAGAAGTCAAGTGAGAAATTGTCAGCCAAAAAAGAGTTTGCAGTGGTCTAGTTGATTTATGTTTGTTTTTTGGGTAATTAATATAATCCGCAACTTTTCTACTACTGTTAACTTTAGTTGTACTTTGTGCAACGCCCTCCATTGATGACACATCCTTGATCACAATGGTTCTGCGCAAAACTGCTGAAAATGTGGGCTGGTTCATTAGATAGCACCAAGGTTTCAAGAATCTTGAACGGAACAGAACCGGTTCAGCTAATTTGGCGGAAAAAGGGGAATTACTGGTGAAAAAATGTCCTTGACTAGTGTCTTCAGCTTTTTCTTGTTTTTCTCTGCCTGGTATTTTGTTGCAGGACACAGGCAGAGATGGCCCATACGTGTCGTGGAACAATCAACTTAGCCACGGCGCACATTGACACAGAGGATGCCTGCAATATTGTCCTGAGCAGTGGCGGCCGCACTTACCACCTGAAGGCTAGCACAGAAGTGGAGCGGCAGAGATGGGTCACAGCATTGGAGCTGGCAAAGGCTAAAGCCATACGCATGATGAACGATCAATCTGGTAAGAGCAGCTGGAGTGAGCAGCTACTTATATGGAACATTTAAGCTGCACTGAATGCTTTTTATAGTGCAAACTATGAGAGCCTAATACACCCATGATGCAAGACATAAATGGTCAGAATTTAGCCTTGATAAATAAGGGCTGGGCTGATACCATCTTGGGTAAACATACAGGAGTGTGTTTATCTTGTGATTTACTTTGTTAGTTCCAAGATCCAAGGTGAAAGGTGTGTTCAGCATGTTCAGCATGCCAGCCTAGATATTTGGATATATTTCCCAGTGTCCCCTGGCACTTGATAATCAGCACAGCTCATGTTTCAGCTCACGCCCTCCTTCTTCAATGTAATTCAGATTCCAGTTTGAGCCAGGAGAGGGCAGCGCCGTCTGTTCAGTCCAGTTGGAAAGCAAACTAGAATATGCTAATGGTACCGTGAAAACTGGGCTTCCATTCAGCATAACAACAGAGCACTCTCTTCTCCAAGGAGACTTATTCTTCTGTGGTTGTATTAGGTGTTGCAGGTCAAGGGCTGTGGGAAAAGCCTGGGAGAACCTTTTTTTTTTCACTTTTCACCCTGGCAGCATCCCAAAGTCTCTCTGCCCAAGTCTTTTGCAGACAGGGTCTACAGAGACAGAGACAGGCTATATATTCCTCTGGCCTCCATTTGAAAGTCACTAAATATAGACGTGGGGAGAATGTGAGTGCTTTTTAGCTCACCACTTGCAGTAAGCATGAGAGGAATGATGGTATATTTGTACTTTGAAAAGGTTAGGCTATTGAACTACCCACATATTCGATGTGTGTCTGATTGTTTGTGTGTGTATATATGCATTTTTTCTACAGCTTGGTCTCTTGTCAGTTTCAACTACAGTATGCTGATGTCCATCTATTGTTCACCCATAACATTTCTTTCCATATATCATCCTCTCTTAATTGGTTGCTTCCTTTGTTTACCTACCCCTTGAGCAAACCTTGCATTTTACAAAAAGAGCAGTTTTCAGACATAGAATATACAGACATATTAGACATGCACACTTTCAATTTTTAATTTTACGCCACTATTTCCTCCTGGGCCCATTTCAGGGCCAGTGGTTACAAATGCCTTTTTGAAGTAATAACATATTGTAGCTGTTTGAAATGTAGTGAGGTGAAAAGTAGCCCTTCCTGATACAGTTTTGATGTCAGGCAACGTGTTCTCAGCCCAAATATGATACAGTAGCATCTGCAAGTTGATGCTTTCCATCCCACTATTCTTAGCAAACTGTTTTAAATGCATGACAACACACAATGACACCTGCTAATGTGTATCCAAGATGCTGTAGAGCAGTGAAACTCAACTCATGGCTCGCGGGACAAATCTGGCCGGCATTAGCTGGAGGGCTCTCTGACCATTTTCAAATTTAAAAATGAAAATTAACTGATTCACTCTAAGATTTTTTGTATTTTAATTGTAAATATGGTGCATGAAAAGGCATCAAAATAGAGTTTGCTCATCAAGTGCCAGGGGGCAGAGGTCCGGGCTAAGACCCAAATGTGACCCTCTTAACCCTTGACCTATGCAGGCAAACGTCAAAAGTTTGAAAACAAGCAATTCACGTGTTATGGATACTGATAGATATTAATAATGTTTGTTCATAAACTTTCCCCTGGCCCTTTTTGCATGTGACCTCTGGGCAAAGCACGTTTGGTGGCTTATCCCTGCTGTAGAGTGTGTCTGCTGCCATTCGTCACAACAGGCTCACTGTTACCTTCAATGCATGTTGTAGATTTTAACATTTGTTATTCAGAAGCTCTTAAATACTTAATTCACAGAACTTCAGTAGCTACTGCATCAGTGCTAAAATGTCATGCATTACGCTTATATTTTTATTAAGCAGTAAATTGTTTGCACTTTGTTAAAGCTTTGACTCATTAATTGCTCAAAAGCTTAAAGAAAGAGTGTGTGTGTGTGTGTGTATGTGTGTGTGTGTGTGTGTGTGTGTGTGTGTGTGTGTGTGTGTCTTTGTGTTTTTTTAACATTTCCTTTCACAGCTAATCTATCTGTGGGTGGAGGATTTAAGAGAATGTGAGAATAGAGCCACCTTTTACAGAAAATTAAGTGTCTGTTAATGCAACTGAAAGTAATGCTTTAATACCGCAGTGAATGACCCATCACGCTCTTTCAGAGCATCTTATTCTTTGCCCACACACACACACACACACACACACACACGGATCTTTGACAGTCATTAACCTGCCCTCTCCTCTCCACTGGTGGAGGAGCTCCTATCGATCTCCTCAGCACAGAGGAGCACAGTGTAAACCCTGGGCACATCATGTGTGAAGATATAGCAGGGTTACCCCAAATCCTTTAAAAACATTGGAAGGCACCAATTCATAAATCTAAAAATTGGTGTTACAATGTCTCAAACTGATCTTTCAAAAGTCTTAAAAGTTTAAGACACCTGAAGTAAGTTTGTATGAATCTTTTTTTTGTGATGTTACATTGCAAAATCTCAAAAATAATTGGTAACATCTATTTTTTAAGAATAATTTACCTAATGTTTCTTGCATTAACGACACATACATCAGGATAATGGGGCCACCAACACTCATATTTTGTTTCTGGTTGGGATGCTCAAAGCAGAGCATCCAATGTCTGTTAGCAAGATATGACTCGGTGTTTCTCAAAATCAAGGATGCTTCCTTGGTAGGACGGATCCTTCCAAGTTGGCTCCTTCAGAGGCTAGGTAAGACTCCCCCTTAGCATACGGTGAACACACATTTGAACAGGCTAGTGTGCATTATTGAACAGTGAACACCCCCCCCCCCCCCCCCCCCCTTCAATTTCGGCAAATCGTGTGCAAAGAATTGTGGGTACTTCATGCCAGCTGGGAATACACACACATGCACCCCTGAAATTTCTCTGAAGGAAGGATTCCATCCTTGGTAGAATTCAAAGGATCCTTGACATTGGAACAGTTCTTCAGCGGGATTCGATGATGTAGCCTTCTTGAAATTCAGCAGTTTAAGGATCTTACCTTGACTTTGAGAAACACCAAGGTTTTCAAATTCAGCACAATAGTAAAAACAAAGCAGTGGAATACCACATGTAGAATGAGACACATAAAAAACTTTCCCAGTTCTGTTCTATGTTCGCCTCCACATGAGACAAAGCATAATCTTTTATGTTACATAAACATTTAGGCAAAATTGTCCCTAATGTGAGTAATTGATTCATTCAGTTTTTGTTTTTTTCTTTCATTTTGATCATTATAAAATTGGACTTAAATTTAATTCTGAGTGGTATTAAAAGGCTTTAAACTAACCTGCTTAAAGCCGTAGGAACCCTGGGACTGAGACCAAAGTTATAACTAGACTTGTTTCCTTCCCATCTCTGACTGTGCTTTTATCTTTTCATCTGCAGCTTTTAAGAAGTAGGTTTCAAAATCTTAAATCCAATAATATGCTTTTAAAACTTGAATCTCAAGCCTCTCTTTGTCCATGAGAGCCATGAGATTATTTTCTATGTACAACTGACCTGAGCCCTGAAACAATTGCACGAATTTCTCATCAGTACTAGTGTCACATCTGCAGCCTTTCCATTTATAAGCCGTCTCTTGTAAATTGCCTGTCCTTCTATGAGTGCATCTTGTTCTAATTTAGGTTTAGATTGGATTTCTAACAGCTTATTGAAGCGATCGCCTGCAGTCTGAGGCGAGCGTTCAGCAGGTGGCAGTGTTTCCCTTCACTTCAACATGATCTCTCTCTTGGGCTCCCCTGCCTTGTTTTTGCTGCTGCTTGGGAAAATGAGCTCAGCCCGTTGAATCACTGGTTCCAGTGGTGGCTTGAATTTGCGAGTGTGTCATGTGCTCCTATTTAAATATAACACCAGAGAAAATTTGCTTACATGGTGAATTTAGGAGGAAACTGGGAAGGTTCGGCGGAGGTTGGTGTAAAAATTGATTGAAATTGAAATTCATAAATGCTGGAAGCAGTCTTTCAGTTAGTGGTTTCACGGGGTGTAGATGAGTTAAGAAGAATAAAGCTGTGGTGGCCAGAGTTACAGCGGCAGCTACTGATCCATAGTACAGGCTGTCTTCCTGCATCTGACCCTGATATGCTCAGGATACAAGCTGACGTGTATCTTGAGCTCTTGAACCAAAGTGTATTGATCTGCATCAGCATTTGATCAGCAAGTCAATCTGAGAGTCCTTGGGTGACATTTCACTTAACTCTGGTTATGTGTGTGAGCAAACTGGTAGTCACATGATTTACTTCAAGAGGTTCGGTTACTACGTATATTTACATTCATGATCTCACTTGTATTTTTGTTTACCCTGTATCTTTCTCTTTTCATTTTAATTCCACATCCCAGCTCCAGTTTTCCCTTTACAGTAAAAGGTAGAGCTCTGTCCATGGTCCTGAAATATCAAGATTATGACAGCCTCCTTAAACAAGCTTCATTTGTCGTTTTTTTCCTCTCCTCTCCTCTCCTCCTGACCATCTCCCTGTTTTCCTCCCCTACATTTGCTCCAGCGCTTGCTCTTCCTCTCCCTTCCAGTCACCCTCTCTCTCGCTGTCTGGTTTTCCCGCCCCCTCCTGCTTCCTCTCTCTCCTCCTCTCCCTCAGTAAGCCGTTTACTCTGCTTCTCATCCGGTGGGTGTTTTTTAGTTCTCAATGGAATGACCTTCTGCTTTCTCAAACTCTTCCCCCGTCTCTTTTGCTTAAAACACTGCTTTTGTCCTGCAAAGTGTGGAGGGAAAAATAGAGGCGGGATTGGGCGCAGTTTTCCTCTTGTAAGTACCTGGCTTCATTCCATTTATGTTATGCTCAGGAATGTTCGTGCATGTTTGTGTGTAAGCGTGTATCTGGTTATGATGATTAGATTCAGCTCTGTATAAATGTTTTAGCTTATATTGCAGTATATGAGTAATAGTGGCTGATTTATAGTGGATAACTCAGGGATATCTGTGGTTTCCATTGTTAGACAAAGGGTGTATACAGTTGACATCCGTCCCGGA